TATGCCAGTGATATCCCTAGCACATATATTATTCTAATTGATAATGTACTTCGTTGAATTTTTAAACTCTGAGATTATGTCAGGGACCTTTGCACAAAGAAGATGCTCAAAAATATTTCTATGATGAGTGAGAAACCTTGAAATAACAGTAAGTTTTTAATAACTTCTAAAAGCTCATTCCATATGTTTTCCATAATACATATCCAAGATCTTCTAACTTATTAATTATTGGCATATTTCATGTAAGAATTATTAAGCAATAAAAAATTTAAAATGCAAATCTAAAAAGTTGGCTTTCTTTCTAATTAAACAATAAAAATATAGTCAATACATATTTATGACAATCTTGATTCTTATTCTAGATTATTCTTTTTGGGGGGGGCACCTGGGATTGAACCCAGGGGCACTCAACCACTGAACTACATCACCAGCCCTTTTATTTTTTATTGTAAGACAAGCTCTCACTAAGTTGCTTAAAGATTCACTAAATTGCTGAGACTGACTTTGAAATTGGAATCTTCCTCCCTCAGTCTCCCAAGCCACCAGGATTATAGGTGTGTGCCACTGCACTCAGCTAGATATTTTCTAGTTTTTACCTTAATTTTATACCTTAAATTATGAGCATTTTAAAAGTAAATAAGCATAAATATTTTGATATCCAGACATATAAAAGGAAGTCTTACTAAACAGAATCATTACAAAGCTGTAAAGCTAATTCACCTAATTCTATTTACTTAAACATGGGGCATTTTATTAAATCTGTATACAGTTTAATACTTTCTGAATTACTACTACAGATTATTCAATGCTTAATAAAATGCTGGTATCAGATTTGAGGGGAGAATTTATGCTCATTTCTCAAACTGCTTATGTTAAGAATACAGGATGGCAGTGTGTTTCCTTACCAAAAGCATCTGAGGCACTTTTTAAAGAGCAGATTCCCAGCTTCCACCCTAGAGAGTTCTGAGAGTGCATCTGAGAGAAAAGCTGGAAATTTGTGAAAAGCTCTTCCAATTATTCTTTTTTTTTTTCCAGGGGGGCGGGTACTGAAGATTGAACCCAGGGGCACTCAAATACTGAGCCACATCCCCAGTCCTATTTTGTATTTTATTTAGAGACAGGGTCTCACTGAGTTGCTCAGCCTTAGTTTTGCTGAGGCTGGCTTTGAACTCAAGATCCTCCTGTCTGACTCCCGAGCTACTGGGATTACAGGTATGTTCCACCAAGCTTGGCTCTCTTCCAATTATTGTAATGATCAGCCAGGTTTGAGAAATAACAAACACAGACTACAAGAAAGTTTGCAGTGATTCCTGCCAGATCTTAAAAAGTTGCTATTGGACCCACATAAACACACAAAAAATATTGATCACATTAATATCTATTCTGAATTGCCTTTTCAAGTAGACTTTTGTTGAATGAAGTTCCCTATGCCATAAATACTGAGGTGTCACAAGATATTTTTAATAGATTACAGTGAGGTTTGATCAATTTTAATTCCTAAGAATACCATGTACCACAATTAAAGAGTTACAACACCAACCATTTTTTCTAAAAAAAAAAAAAAAGCTATACCTAAAAACAGTGAATTATAATTATTATTCTAACCTGCAACCATATAGTATGATATACTTTTCAAAGTATTTCAGATGCACTGTCATTTATTCTCCCGATCATTTTGTGAAATACATTCACCATGTTTTAACAACAACAAAAAATGCGCTCCAAAATCTATTTCTACAAAATATGTAAATAATGTGTCCTGGTCATCCCTATAAGGAAACCAGAGGCAAGTTAACATCAATGGTCTTCACTGATATAAATTATCTAAAAACTTTTGATAATACCCACTACAATAAGAACAAACTTACAAAAAAAAATGGTGATTAGGCAGTAACTAGGAAAATAAATTTTAAAAGCTATCACATCCTCTGGGAACACAACTGACAAAAGTATACAGTCCAGGCTACTGATGTGTATCTTCATGATAAAACTAGTACTAGTCTAATATATTTTATAACAGTTTTAAACACGTTGTGAACACACCATAACTAGAGAATTATACCAACATAATTTGAATATATAGAAAAATAACTCAGAAAGTCCTGTATTATTTCTGATATGCTAATGTCCATTTCCATATATAAACCAGTTACTGGAATAAATACTAGTAAAGGATAAGTGACTACAGAAGTATAGTATATACAGAGATATGGCAAACAGAAAACAATTACAAGGAATGCAGAAAAAATGATGAGAAGTCAGATGGCACCATCACTGGCAATCCTAGATGACAGGAAGATTTTAGGAGAATCACTAAACAAATGAAAATAGTGTCATGATTCAATCTTTACAACCAATACAGCACTTAACATTTTCAAATCCTAAGGACAATGACCTGCTCATTTTGGAATAAACTTAGACCTAAATTAAGGCATATTTGACTAATAAGTTTTAAGTAAGTTTTAAGCAAACATGGAAACAAAGCCAATAATAAAAATAGTATTTCACTAATGCTTATATTACAGTAACATTGTTTTTCCACAAAGCATCACATTTGTGAATGCTACATCTTCTGCTGTTATATGATTGAAAATTACTGGAATAGTTTCTTATAAGTCAAACACTGATTTGAAAAAAACTCAAGTTTTAAGATTTGCCTGATCTATTTCACAAGACATTTTTAATTAGTTTATTCTATTTCACAAACAAAAGCGATCTCCATAATTACTATGAAATTTTCTGAGCCCTTTGACTGATTTCTAAATTATATTCCCAGTACTATATTAAATTTGTGCCACCAATTTCAATATGCTATATGACTCAGATTTTCCTACTTCATTGCAACTTTTCAGAAAACTTAATTGCTATAAATTATTTAATTATGTATATTTGCATAAATCAGGCATGTATTTAATTATGCAAAATTATAGTATGTTTGTCATTTTGAAATATTAATACTGTGCAACTATTTCAGAAGATGTCAAAGGCATTACCTTCCTTACAGTTTATTGACCAGTTCTAAAAATTCAAGTAGTGTGTTATATAGTAAAGCCTCTAATTACTGCTGCAAGAATAAACGAGACATAATTTACCCCAATCATATCTAGTTTTGGAAGGCTTTAGTATCATACTTCTCTCATAATCAACAAGGAGTAAAAATTCATGTGCACTACAAAGACCTCAATATCCTTCACACCAGCACCACTTACTGAATTTAACCTAACTGACAATATCTGGAGGAGGACTTTAGTCTAGACTGCTTGATCTAGGTAAAGCTAGGATGCCTGGTGCTCTAGGTGGCAGAATACATGGAAAAGGGGAGGAGAGACTTGAAAAGATGGTGGGGGACTGGAGTAAACTCTCCTCTGGGGGTGAATAACTACCTAAATAATTACTATGAGTTCTGTTTTATTAGTAATTTGGACAGTTATACTAGTTTTGTAACCCTAATCACTACTACTACAAAAAAAAAAAGAAAAGAAAAAAATATTAACTTGAGGAAAATGAAATGTCTTGTCAAGATCCTTTCCACAGCAATACATTAGGTACAATCTGGAAAATTTTCACTTTGATGTCTTTTTAAAAATTATTTTTAAAAAACACTCTTTAGTCCCTATTCTACAATTTCAATTTTTGTTTTTAGTTTTACTCCATCTTGTCCTACCTTTGGTTTGTTCTAGTACTCCTTTTCCCTCCTAGACATTACAGATATACAGAGATACAAAATAGAACAACTTAAGCAATTTAAGTACCACAACTTATTGCCTACAAGACATCAAACCAAGATAGTGGATTTAAATCCTGTGAAACATACCTAAAGGAATAAAATTAAGCTACCAAACTCAAACACAAAATCTCTGTTAAAAACCCAGAAGCATGGCTGGGGAGGCTGAGGCAGGAGGATCATGAGTTCAAAGCAAGCCTCAGCAAAAGCAAGGCACTAAGCAACTCAGTGAGATCCTGTCTCTAAATAAAATACAAAATAGGGCTGGGGATGTGGCTCAGTGATCCAGTGGCCCCAAGTTCAATCCCCACTATCCCCCCAAAACAACAACAACAAAAAAACCCCAACAACAATAAAGAAAAAACCGAGAACCAACACATACACATTCTCAAAATCTTTTTTAATATATAATTCTCCATAAAGGACAAGAATTGTGCTGGAGGCAATAATCAATAGCCCAGAGTAATTGCTGAAGCTCCTAACTTTACCACAAAAGTTCTACTGAGATATTAACTGAAAATTCCGTTTAAAATATACTGCTTACTAAAGAAATGTAAACAAGCACTGGGGCCAACTTTAAGATACTGTTTAAGAAAGAATAAAACTATATATACACATCCAACACCTGTGACTTAAATAAACTAAAAAGGAAAGTAAGTTTATTAATGAAGATGAACCAAGAGAACTGGAAACCAGTGGAATTATTTGCTTATGAGACCTACCCAAAGCCGCCTTTGGGTACGCAAATTTTAACCTCCAATGAATTGCCTGAGGTTGGCTGGGTTTCTTTCCTATCTGCTCATAATTGCAGGCAGGGAAACCTGAACTAATAATTATGGCCAAGAGGTGAATGCCTTCCAGCGTGCCACCCCGGGGCACACCCCAGGACCAGCGGACAGCTAGCGGTGCTCTGCTGAGTTCTCTATTAAGGATGTTTCCCCTGGCTCTTGAAGAATTCGTTTAATGAAAAATCTCCTGGGGACTTTTTTAAAAACAGAAAAGTGCTAACAAAATACCCTTTTCGCAGTTTTCATAATTTTGATGGGTGTATGTTGCAAAGCCATCAAACCGAACTCCCGGGAGAACCTGCGGACCTGACCTTACAGGGTCGAGAAGGTCCCTTGATAGGAAGAGGGGGAAAGCAGAGCACCTACTGGGTGGGCTCGGGACCCGACAGCTGCAGGTCCCACTCCTAGGGACGTCGCCCGCAGCAGCACCGACAGGTGCAAACTCGAGCGCGCGCTGCAGCTCGTCGGCGGCAGCCCCCCGCCCGTACCTGATGATGTCGTCGCTGTGGCCCCGGTAGAACTTCTGCCGGTGCTCCCGCGGGCTGTACACGACGCCGACCCCCGCCACGAAGTACACGATCTCCTTGGCCGCCGTGTAGTAGAGGTTGTTGCGGCACTGGTGGCCCCGGTAGCCGTACACCCACTCGAGCCGCAGGTGGCAACTCGGGGCGCTCCGGGCCGCCATGTCGCGGCGCCCACCCCGCCGC